GGTACTTACAAAAGTAGCATGATGTGAATATAGCCTTGAACTCTCTTCTTTTCTAGAAAGTTAGGGAATACTGCTAAGAAGAGTCATCTAAATGGCATGCAAAAGGAGTGGAGCAACTGCAGTCATGAAAGAAAAAAAAAAAAAAAACAAAACAAGCCCCAAATAACTGGACTCTGATTAAAACAACAGTGATGCACTGTAAGGCCCAGGAAAATATACAAATCTGTCTTTTGTTTGCCTATAACAATCATGTGATTGCTTCCAACAAGAATTACTTGTCTTTTGATGTCAGAGTAATTCTCCTGATATCATGAGAAATTATATAAGGAATGGCCCCAATGTTTTTATGAATTCCATTTTCATCAGTGTTTTTTTGACAATTCTTATTTCGCTTTTATCAGATTTGGTTACTATTTCTATATGGTATTTTAATCTGTAGTTTAGCTCTCACCTGTTCTTTGTCTCTTGGGTTAAATGCTAGACAGATTGCAGTTGTCATATCAGGGCTTTTCAAGAGTGTTGCTCACATAGAAGCTCATAGTTAAATAATCTTCTTAACTTTCTTCTTTTTCAAACTGAAAATTTGTGCTTTCCTTTTAAAAATTATGTGTTTGCAACTCCTCTACGTTTGGGACACTTTTAGGATACACTGAAATACTGAGACTGAGTAACTTAGAAATCCAGGAAATGATTATGCTACGTTTTTACATGTTGTTAAATTGGGTGAAGACATTTTGGATAGCTTCATCCTAAAAGTGCCTGTGCTGGTCCTCAGCCTAAGCTGAGCAAAGACGTTACGGAGTCAGAGCCTGCCGTAACTTAGTGCAAACCATCAGTGGGGATGTAAATATGTAGTATGGCTCAGTTAGGGCTGCTTCTAAAGTCAGGTATTAGGTCCACGGTTTTTTTTTTATGCCTGTAGTTTTTCCTGTAGCAAACCATGACACAATACTGTCTGTGTCAAGATCTGCAGAAGAGGTAAACATGAGGTACTGTTCTGGCTCCTGAGAAAATGCACCCCCAAAAGAAGGCTTAGAAACAGCAGCAACATCAGTATCGTGGGTGGAGCTGCAGCAGTTCTGCCCTGTGCCCAGGTTGGCTTGTGCCAGCCAGATCCCTGAAAGTGACTTCTCAGGAGGTCTTTGGAGAGTAGAAAGTTCTCTGAAATGTGTCATCATCACATAATATTGAGTAATTGACCTCTGCTGTTTTGTTGTTGTTTTTTTGGTGTTGGTTTTTTTTTTTTTTTCTCTGTGAATTTATTACCAATAGCTTTGATTGTTAAAAGAAGTCGTATTACCTCACTACAACTTCCATCTCTTAGAAAATGATATGGAGATCCAGGCCAATATGCCTGCCATTCCCACCACACCCATGTTCCTCTGCAGGGGCTGGCAGGCTTCTCCTGCCTTGGAGGGAAAGTACCCGGAGTTCTCCTAACACTGACAGAGAAACACCTGGGGTACCACCTAATAATACCTTTCTAACCTCCCCCTTTCCCTCTTCTAATTCGTATCAGTAGAAAAATGGGTGCTATTGTTAATGGACTGCTATTTTTTCATTTGGAATAGTTTTGGGGAAAATGTTACAATGTGGGTGGAGGTTTCTGTAAGTGAAGAGTTGCCTCTGATGCAAAAATTGAAATCAGCATGCATTTCAGAGATATGGTTTGAGGGTAAACAGTGCTTCCTGTTGTTTTTACAGCTAATGCATTAAAAAACCCAAACCCCACACTTTGTTATAGAGGTGCTCTATTCTGCGGAATACTAAAGTAAACTGTAACTGTGGATTAGTAGCTAAAGGATTATTTCTTTGGCATAATATTCTCTGAATTCTATCTGCTGACTGAAGCCAGCTTCAGCAAAAATAGAAGTACTTTATTGAAATCTGCTCTTTCAGTGAGTGAAGGCAGTTTGTCTTGACTCTTTTGATCAATGCAGGGAAGAAAGAATATTGGAGGTGTTTAGGCAAATAGTGATAGAACATACAACAGAAAGATGTACTGCGGCAGTGGCACTGATATTGCACCTTTGTGCTCCTGTTCAGATCACTCAGCTTCCAAAAATGATAGACTGGGAAGCGGCGGAAAATTGTAGGCAGCTACACTAGCAACAATTCTCACTTTCATGTTTTTCATAAAAGCCAAAGTGCCCTTTATGCGCTATTAATTTGTGAAGTAATTTATCTCAGAGCAAGACTGTATTTACAGAACCTAGCATACAGACAGAATATTGTAGCCTGGGATTGAAAAATGTCACTGCACATGATGCCAGAATAAACAGAATAGAAATTAATTTCAGTTAAATCCACCCTGACACTTCCCAAATTTTTTTTTTTACATTGCCTCTTGCCATTTTATTCTTTTCCTATTCACCTAAAACAAATCTCTATCTGAGCTAAAAAAATACATGCCATCAAATAAAAATGTTCTTCATAATAATTGGAATAATTAAATACCGTAGCTAGCTCTGTGCCTTGTAGAGATTAAAGGGGCTATTTTTTTATGCTATGGCAGTGACAGCTGTAGTTGTCTGTTGTCTTCCTTCTTTTCTTTATCACTTCTTTTATCTCCTCTTCTTTATCTGTTACTTACCTCAGTTGTAAATTTAGAGGGAGGTGTCTTCAGGGTGACACGGCATAGTGGTGTGGCTCGTTGTAGCACACATAGTCCATGCTACTGTACTACAGCTCACTGCTGGTGTGTACATCCCAGCCCTTCCTCTCCAGTGCTACACCCAGAGAGTAGAGACATTCCTCTGCCATTTCCCAGCTTTAGCTCCATGAGTTTCTCTTCTTTTGAAGTTGTTTTGACCTTCTACCAAGAAGAGGTCAAGCCAAGATACAATTGTCCTAAAATAATCTTTACTTAGTATGATCTCCTAGACTCTTTGGGCAGAGACGTTGTTTTTCATTTTGAGCAATCTGTTTTCTGCAATAAAACACTGAATATGTCTCTCTGTTGCTATAGAAATAATATTGCATTAAATTGGGGAACCAGTGCCCTGCTGTCGACAAATCTAATCTAAGTGTTAGTCTCTAGAGCTTGAATTTCACCACAGGGAAGAGGTATACATAATTCTACAAATTATTTCTGTAACTTATGCATAAATGTCTTTATACTCTAAAATTGTTAGCTAAATTTCCCAAAGTGATAGCATGGAGATTAACATAGTGTAATGTGTTTACATATATCTTAACAGAGAGCCTTTTCCCCACCCCCTCCCCCATACATTTTCACATTTATAGCTTGAAATTTCCCACTCTCTGCATAGGAAGGTGGGGAGTGGCAGAAAAAGCAACTTTCTCAGCCAGGTTCCCTAGCCCGTGGACAACAAAGTGTGCCAGGTTTATTTAAATTTTTGGTTTTATTTTCGAAAATCGAGCTCCTCCAAGTAACATGAGATGTCAGTTGTCCTGTTTTTTCTATAATTAATCAGGATGTTTTCTATAACTGAAAGGACAGCCTAAACTGACCACAGTCCTGGTACATTAATAAATTGCACAAACTGATCTGCTGTCCACTACTTTCTAGACTACAGTGGCTATCATATGCTCAGTATTTCTTAAGTTACTCAAAGACTTTGCTACAATAACTTTCTACTCTGTACAGCAGTTAAACACAAGAGAGTTGTGGATTTTTGACTTTAGGCACCACATACCAAATCTCACATCTGTCTTTACATTTAGATATAATTTATTTATAATATGAGTATGTTTTTTTCCCATTATTTTTCTAAAGCTGTAGAATTATAGTAACAGCAATTAGGTGGTACTTAAGCCTGTATCCACAGAATAAGAAAAAATAATTTAAATATTTGCTAATAATAGTTACTCAGGGTCAGTCTTTGTCAACATATTGATCATAAGTATTTTGAAGAAACATGGAGAAGAAAGATCTTTCATTTCATAGTTATATTACAGCAGCCCCTCTAATACATTTCTATGTATAATACAGATGTGTAGTTACAAAAATAGAATACAATTTAAAAATATATGATGATGGATTTGCATAGACCAGTATGCAAATGTATATTATTAATCTGATTTCAGAGTTCTTGTAAAAATCCTTTTACAACTTCTTGGTTAAAAAATGCAGTTATTATTTGTGAAATGGGCCTGTGTTATAGGTTATGTATTGCAGGATAAAATACATTTTATAGATGTTCAGTGTAATTAGTGAATAATAAACACATCAATGGCCCCTGATTAAAGATTACTCTTTAGTAAACTTTAGAAAACCTCTGTCATAGTTAGAATAAAATAACTTCTTTAAAAAAAAAAATCCTTCTGTTTTTTTTTTCAGTGTTTGTAAATTAATCTAGCAATTAGATAAATCTTCCTAGACGAGGACAATTTTCTAACAACCAGAAGAATGACTGTCTGGGTATGCATATTAATATAAAAACAGAGATGTGGGAAAAACTAGCAGAGTACACAATTGCCTTTCTTTGAAATTAATGCTATGATCATTATTAAAACAGACTCATCATATAAACAAGTTGCCACAAGACACTGATTATTTTTTTGCTGTTAAAGTAGTTCTTGTAATGAAAAAAAAAAAAAACAAAACACCACCTTAATTCCTTTGCACAACCATAAAATATAAAGCAGAAGCTGACCCGGTTTTTACCCTTGTGTAAAGCTGTTACACTAGCCAAGGTTGCCGCATTTTTTTGCCACATCATCAGCCTACACATGAAAAGAATCAGACTGCTAAAGGTCTTGGTGCAAAACACTGACCTACTGTTATGCTATCCGTTGTTCCTATCCAGAGCCTTGCTTAAGGCAAGTTATTAAAAGTGGCTGCGTACCTAATAAAGGAGGGAAAGGGTTGAGTGGACATAAAATATTAAAGTGAAGATGTATTCTAGATCCTTGCATATTATGATCATTTCTAATATAGAATATTTTCTTACTATGCATAGTTCAATAAACAAAAGCTAACAATGAGGTTAGGAAAATAACATAACCACTACAATGTGTTTGTTCTTCTTCTATAGGAAGTCAATGGAGAAAGGACCAAGAGCAGGATCTAAAGAATGTTCTGAAGAACACTGACCAGGACATACCACTCGTATTCGTCAGTGGCAATCATGATATTGGCAATACTCCAACAAAAGAAACAGTAGATAACTATTGCAGGAACTGGGGAGATGACTACTTCAGCTTTTGGGTTGGAGGCGTTTTCTTTCTTGTGCTGAATTCTCAGTTATACTTCGATTCTTCCAAATGCCCTGAGTTAAAGGAAGCCCAGGATGTGTGGCTCAATGAGCAACTGGCTGTTGCTCAAAAACATAAATGCAAGCATATTATAGTATTTCAGCACATCCCTCTGTTTCTGAAAAAACCTGATGAAGACCACAATTACTTCAACTTGGAAAAATCAGTTCGTCAAGAGATAATGGAAAAGTTTCATAAAGCAGGTATTTTCACACATTCTCCTGTTTTATAATTTTTGTTTCAAATTGTTAATGGCTATGCTGTCAGACAAAATATATTTAACTTAAATAGTACTGTTTTCAAGGAATTCTAGATACTGCTTGTAAGCCTCATTGTTCCCTGTAGGTCAAAATTATCAACTGAATCTAATCACCTATAAAAAGTACCAAACCAAATTTAAAATTCTGAGTGAAAATTAAAAATCCAGAAGTAAAAACTCTTTAAAATAAACAGAAAGAATTCCATTTTGCAAGTACTGATAGATGTAAGACATCTTGAGTTTTTCCTGCCTAAAGAGTGGAAGATCAGGTATTGCCATAGGAGAAAAATACAGGATTTGTCTTACATAAAACTGGAAACAGAATTCAGAATTACCTTGGAGGTTGTTTTCTCCCACACTGAGCCAATTTTAAACCAAGAGTGTAATGTGCTCCAGATTTATTCAGTGTTAAAAAGAATCTTGCTCTGCTAAGATCAATCCTTTGCATATCCATTACTAATAGGGGCCATTGCTGGGATGAAGGGCAGGTGGAACATATGCTAAACAAATATATTGTACCACATCCCTTAGCTTCGTCTGATGACATTTGAATGCCATGGAGACAGACACGGTACACAGGTACCTCCTCCATGATGTTCCATTGTTTCCTGTTAATTGCCTTCATGTTCCTGGGGTGTGCTAGTCCCTCAAAATTTCCTGCCAGCCTGCCATTGCTGCATTGGAGCGTCATTTTCTCTTTATCTGTAAGAGAGTATGTTATTTGGATTACTGAATAGTGCAAACTGTTTATGATATTGTTCCTCATTTACCATATCATTAAGTCTAGACTCATCCAAAACCAGCATCATTTCCAAGCTCTGAATCTCCTACTGTTTCCAGTCAGTGGGGCCAAAACTCAAAGCTCTCTGAGGGCTCCCCAGGGGACTGACATATTGGCAGATTCAAGATTTACAAGTGTGGGCTTTTTCCCATAAGGAGACGCGCTGAGAATACCTCATAATATATTTTCAAATTTTTGTGCTAGTGTTTATATAGTGGGAAATACAGCTGTTAGAAAGTTGGGCAGCTAAATGACTGCTTACTTACTGTTGACTAGAAAGACATCCTAGTTCACTGGAGATCTTGTTAGCAGAAGGACATCTCCATACAGGTGTATCCCAGTAAATAAGCATTAATGTAGAAACAAAGCAGTTCTGTTCTAGAGTTTTCTGTCATCCAGAATTTGGCAACACTCAGTACTGGGAATATAATTAACCAACAGGTAAAGAAATCATGCAGAATGTTATCATTGTAACACTTACCATTGTTATTATGTTTCTTAGAGGGATATTTCAGACTTATTCTCCTAATGTGTATGTAGAGGCTTAACCAAAAGTTGAGTAGGCTTCAAGTGATGGGGTGAAGGAAGAGAGAAGGGGAAACCATCAAGACAAGACAATTCAATGGAAGAAATTCCCAAACTCCTTTCTGTGCCAACATCCCATTTGTACCTTCCCTCCATCATTTCACATTGTGTCCCTTGTTCCCATTCCTAAAAATCCACCCAAATTGACACATTGTTTGGTTTCTTCGTTAATATGTTAAAACATTGATCTTTTCCTTGCTGTTTTATACAATAAATGAGTCAACAGGTAATATTTGCAATACAATAATCAAACATTTTGCTAATTAAATGAATACAGAGAGCAAGCAGCTCACTGCAACTCAGACTGCTAAGAAAAATCAGCTGAATCAAAAGTTGGCTCAGAGTTGCCTTAGTAACGGGTGCATTCTGTTTCCATTTTATTATTCAATTGAAGAACGGTCTTTGTAACACCACAAAATGTTATCAGTGGATTGCAAACAGGCAGTTATCGTGGCAGGATAGATGAACAGATATGCAATGACACCAGCTATTTTCTGACTCTCTGCTTTGCCAAAGAGTAATTGATTTCAGCATGTCATTAAATTGGTTCTCCCCCAGTTTACTTCATATATTCTTGGAGGATTAAAACACAGAATATTGCTAATGACATCCCAGTCTACTTTGGTTTTGAGGTTTGGTTTGTTTGGGGGTTTTTTGGTGTTTTTTTTGTTTTTTTTTTGTTTGGTTGGTTTTTTTGTTGTTTTTTTTTTTAATTATGATGTGCCATTTAAGAAGTCTAACCCCTTATAGGACATGATTTAAAAATTTGGTATAACTATTTATTCTGGAAAAAGGAAGTAAGTCTGCCTTTTTAATGAGTCCACCAGGCTGCTCCTGTTCTTCTCCCCCCAGCCTGTCACTAGTCCGTCCTTCCTTCCTTCCTCTCTGATTCAGTGTTTCCAATCCCTCCAAAGGTTTGTTGTGTAATTATGAAAAATTTCAGTATAATGTGTATGTTTTAGGGGTTGCTGTTTGGCAATGTGACATTATTAGATGGGTATCATATTTCAGTTGTTGATAACCCAGAATCAGACCTGAACTATCCATTTTCATGTTTATACTTTTTCTAGAAGTGTCAAACACAGAGCTACAACTCACCTGGTTGGAGAGAGAAGGACAATCTGGTAATTCAGGTCTTGCCATGAACAAAGAAATTAATGTGGGTATGTGTAGGAAATAATCAGATACTTAAAGTATGGTGATATTGCAACAGGTGCTTTAAAGTGAGGTATGCAACTTCAGAAAATTATTAATTTGAATTCAGAGCCCAGATCTTCTGTAGTTATTCTTGTCTAATCACTTACATATTACATAATGTTTTTGGTTTAAGTATCTGCTCATTACAAGCAGAGATAAAAGACTAGCTGTAGAGGCTACATCTGGTACAAAATACTGAATTACATTTCTCACATTAGAAGTGTCCTTAACAGTTTGGCTAATTAAAGATAAAATCATGTCCTTATGATAAATATTTATAAATTGAAAATCTGTCATTGTAAATACATATTACTACTATGCAAAGTTAAACCATACTTGTAAGCTGCATGTCTAAGAAATCCTCCTGGCCCATTTTGTCTTTAAATGCATTGTAACAAGTATTGTCCTTGAAAAAGTGATTTCAGTGACAGTGAAAATCAACTCAGTTGAGAACACAGTTTATCATTTAAGTGGAAATACATTTCTGAAAGCATATATGTATAACTTCTGAAAGTTCAGCCTCAGTTGTCAAGGCTCCATCTCCTCTCCATGCAGAAGCTAAGTACAGAAAAAACCTGCGTGCAAGAACTGTGAATGAGCTGACCTGACGTTCTCATCTGAGATCTGCTGGAGTCACTCGACTCTCCTGCGTGAAAAGCATATTCAGCTTTTAAAAATTTTACAGTGCTGATATAAATAGGTTTGCTCATAGCTTTGTAGGGAAAATACAGAAGTAGTAGTGGTCTAGCCAAAAATCTGGTCGTGTGTCTTTGATAAACGTAAGTAATCCATTTGCTTTGAAATTAAGCATACTTTGAAATTAAGACATACTTTTTCTTACATATCTCATTCCAGTATAATTTTCTTAGGATGTTAAAGATTTTTTTTTTTTTCTATGACCTGAAAAGTGTGGGTATTTTTGTTGAGCTGTAGACAATCTTTTAAAGACTGAGAACCATCACCAATGCACTGAAATTACTTACATTACTTAATACAAAACAGTAATTAAAATTTCTTAATGGCCAGAATGAATTCAGACATTTATGCAAATGTATGAACTTGTTTAAGAGCTCTGTTGAATAAAACATAAATCAATAGTTCAGTTTTCATCAACAAAGTTGAGAAAAGACTTTTTGGTTCATTGAGTTGAAGAGTATAGGTGGTCTATCTAGGTGAGGGATTTTGCATCCAAGAGAGAATCACTAGATGATAGATATAAAATACAGAAGTAAATTCTCTGCAGTCTCCAGCTTTTTTTAATTAAAAAGTTCTAAATTCGTCTAAATGTCTTCAAAGCAATTTTTCAGATGTGGTTAAAAATATTTTTGTACATAAGGGGAAAACTAACAACCTAACTTTATTAAATGGCATATTTTTTCATTATATTTGTTATTGTAGGTGTGGTAACTTCTAACATTTTTACTCATTAAAAGTGTAATACCTGCATTCTCCTCTTAGAAGTGTTATGACAGGAGAGTAGAGTATTACAGGAGGAAGCAGCTTTCTGAACATCCACGGCTGAGATATATTGGAGGTTCAAAAATTAAAGCATGAAGTGCTGAAAGCTGTTGTTTCTAAAATTTACCAGACAACATATGCTGTGTTTCATTATTTTCTTTGTTGTGTAATCAAAGTTGACAAGGGAGTAATATTTTCTTCCTCCTGCCATTGAGACCTTGATTTTGGCAAAGCCCATACACTGAATGAGTAATCTCAGTGCTTGCTTATGTGTTGCTTTGTCAGTATTCAGGATAATTTAAATACTTTCAAATTCAGTGACTTAGATCAACCTCTTTCAACCTTGAAATTATGTGCTCGTGGTACAGGTGGAGTGACCAAATTTGAAACCTTCTACGTCACCGTGTAAGAACAGTGTTTTTTAAGACCATTCCCCAGGTATGAATATGTGTATCTGTATGCTAGATTATACTGACTTTTTTCAGAAATTCAGCAGCAAGTACAAAATACATTTAGATCCATTTTTGAGATCGGTTTTAACCACTAGGCTGTGGTTTTGGTTGATAAAAACTTCTCTGATCCTTAGATGACACAGCAAACCAGGATGGTTAGGGGTTTGTGTTGGGTTTTTGAGAAAGCTTCGCTCTCAAATGGAAAAATAAGCAAAACCAGAAAATAAATTCCACTGTAAGGCCACCAGAGGCGTTCACAAAAAATTAACTTGAAGCACAGAATGATGTTCTACAGACAGTACCTCTAAAGGCTTATTTAGACCAGCACTCTAATTAGGTGATCTGGAATCACCCTCTGGCTGTGCCTGTTGTTTCTCCTCTGATTATATAGTAAAAACAAGTGAGACTAAGATCCTTCTCCATATAGCTCTGCTCACTGTTGTCCTATATAAAAGTACTTTTCGACATAGATATACTTTGCAAAGTAGTATCTTGTGTCCCATTTATACAGACTCGCTGACCATCAGCTGCATCAAGCTCTGGATTCTTTAGTCTACAAAGCAAATTTAAGGAAGAGTTTTACTGCAAGTTTGTAGGATTGTATTTGCAAACAGCAGTGCATGAGAGATTTTCATTAAGATGCTTATGTTGCTATTCACACAGCTCCTCTGATGAAGAAGGTAGGATAACACAGAACTTCTAAAGGGCTACACAAAATAATTCTACAATGTTGTTATTTAAGGTTGACTGAAGAGGTTATGAAGTGGAAGGTGTTGATCCCTGACTTACCAGTGGGGCTGTTTCCTTCTACTGGAGCTCTGTGGGTGGGAAATGATTGGGGGTTTTTGTGGAGAACAGGGTCTGAGAACTGAGTGAGCGCTGAATGGTTTTGTTAACAGTGCTGTGACTGATGCTTTCACGTCCTTGCTGCTCTAACACCTGCTTGGCAGATGGGGTGATGTGAGCACTCTCAAATTGCAGTGAGATAAAATCAATTCTATTTCACACAAGAGATTTTGTTTACAAAGACTACTAAATATTATCATTCACTCTGTAACACTGGAGTCTTGAAAAATTATGTATACCACCTGCCCAAGGGAGAAAAAAAGCAAAAAATGCCTATGGTTAATGTGTGCTCTTGTAGGGAAGCTGAAAGAACATCCTTTTTGAGTGCAAAATTGTTCTGAGAAACAGGTATTACTGTTGAACAGACCACGTTGTTCAGCACTTCAGAAAGCAGCTGTACACTGCAAGTGAAAGGAAGAAAGAAAAGCCAGTTTGTGCCTGATACTGCAGGGGAAGTACTCAAGATCAATTTATCTATGTGACTTAAAAGGTTATATTTACCAGAAATGTTACCTTTAAAAAAAGTATCTATCTACACATACACGTGTGTGGGTGTAAGCACACATACACACACAGAGCTCTTACAGTAAGTAGTATCTCCCTTATGCCTGGATAGTACTTATCTTGTTCTCATGCCTATGAAAACACTGAAAGGGTACTAGTGTTGATAACATTCAGGTTTTTCACTCAGTACAATTGAATTTCTTTACAGAACTGCTTCTCCACCTGTTTGCTTCTTTTTTGGTTCTACTGCTGCTCCTCTCTAGCTCTTGCAGTTTTGGGGATAAATATATCTATGATCAGCTTTTGCTAGTATATACTCTTTTTTCAGTCCTTGATTGAGCCAGAGGTTTGGCCAGTGAAGCAGTGATTTTTAGATAGGCATAATTCAATTTTAAACCTAATTTTATCATTGAATTTGAACAGCTAACATAAAAGCACAGTAACTAGACCAGAATGATGATCCCTATTGCCCAGTCTCCTGCTTCTCCTACTAGCCAAATGCTTACAAAGAGCACAAAGCAGGAAAGTGCATAATGGTATTTCTTCCAAGTACTCTTCCAATACCTCCAACAATTTTTCTTTCAGGGCTTTCTGTATCATATTATCAATTTAGTCCAATTTAGTGATTCTTTTACAGATTCATTCAGATGGTTTTTGAAAACTCAACTTACATAAGGATCTGTGGATGGGAGTTTCATGTTTCACAGCTACGTGAAGAAATGCTTCCTTTTGTTTGCTGTGAATTTCACCTGTAGTCTGTATTGAGAGCCTTAAGTCTGTACATGAAATGCAGTGAACGTTGATTCATGTCTGCACTTACTGTAAAGAACAGTTCATTAATCAGCACTTAAAGGATGATAATCTGGACCATGTGGTAAATTTCACTGCTTGCTCAGAACTACTTTTTTTTCCCAAATTCTCTACAGAGTGCATGGGAGGAGAAGGTCTGTGCTGTACCCATTACATATTTATTATGTCATTCATATTGCACTAATTTAGCCTTCTCTTTCTCTTATAGTCTCATTTGCTTTTGCTGAGAAAAGCATTTATTTAATTGAAGGCTCAGTCTAAATAAAGCATGCTACTGATTGCCTATGCTGATTATTCCAGGCATTCTCTTCCTAATTTGGAAAATCTGCTTGCTTTTCTTTGGTTTATTTTTATATTGGTAATTTTCTTCCTATGTTTTTAGACTGTCCATACTGCTGGGTTGAGCAGTTTGATTTCCAAAGTGAGGCTAGGCCAGTCACATTTTGGACACAGCAAACCTGCCTCAAAATGTTTTTTGTACATTAAGAACTAGAGTTGAAAAACAACTTCTGAATTCAGGGCTTTTTGGAAGCAAGCCATGGAAATGAGTATAATTATAGAAACTGGAGTCAGACACCCCTGGAATTTAAAGTAGTTCAAGTCTGAATCTAGCCCAGTATCATCTGATTGCATGAGAAAAATTGTTTTCTAGGTGCATGTTTCTTTATTAAATTATTTTTAATATTTCAGTATAAATGTGGGTGCATTGTTTTCCATCCTGGTTTATTCTATTTGGCTTCCTGTAATCATTGCAACTAGATTTCCTTTGAGGGTTAAACTACGAAACATCAATTTTTTCAAAAAGTTAGGAAAAACCATTGCATTGTTATGGACTACACCTATTGTCTGTCTAATAAAGCAACAAGATGACTTGGCTAGTATTTCTTGTTTCAAATTGAGACATTTTATGACAACTTAACTATTCCTTAAACAGAAAGGCTGGTCAAAACACTGATTGAAAAAGATGCAGTTGTCTGTTGATCCACAGAGAAGACAGGCCATAGTCCCCTTTCTTTCCTGCCCCAAACGTAGTTGAAAATATGCCCAAACTTCCATCATCTTGCATTTTTGACACTGTAGAATAGAACAGCAGTAGAGAACCAAGTAAGGGAGAAGAATCTGGGAATTAGGGGACTGTAACTGCTCAGTAAGCTAAGGCTGGGATGTAATCACTCTCAGGGGAGTTATCCATGAGACACCGCTAAATGCCTTTGTTCTCTTACAGTGCAATTATGTCAAAATCATGCTGACCCTTTTCCCTGGTGCCACAGAACTGTTGTTTAGAAGGGTTTCTCTGAGTGAAAAACTATAATTTGTGGGAAGAAGATGCTGTACTTTGAAAACTCTGTAAAATAACCTTAGCTTCTCCTGCTAGCAGACAAACTGCCTTCTGCATGATACTCAGTATGCAGTTCTCTTCATGTAATGAACTATTTTCTTATCTGTCTCTTGTCAGAAATAAAATCAGCAGCATGCTAACGACACTGGGGTAGCTAAAGTTTTCTTTCAGACTTTTTTCAGTGCCACCAGGCCTGAAAGAGGTGGTGAATATTTCACCTTGGACTCATCTTTTTTCAGAACATTGTTCTGATTTGGGTTGTTTTGGAACTCAGAAGTGCTGTAAGATAGTCATCGTTACAAAGCATTATCTCATTTAGATCGGAGCTAATGCAGTCCGTGAGGATGTGATGGTTGTATACGTGCAATTGCTTCTGAGCCTGGCTGGCCTGGTCATCCCTTGCTGTACCAATCTTTTCTATGAGACATCCAAGGCAAATCTCATACTTGTTTACTTCTCTCTCCCTATTAGGCCAACGAAACCAGTTTAACAGTACCCATTACACCATCTGTGTAAAAAAGGCAGGTTTAACACAGTGTGCTGTTTTGGTTCACAAAGCTTGAAGAGAGGACCAAGAGAAAATGCTGGTAAAAATCATTCATCTTGCCAGAGCTGGCTTTAGAAAGCAGCCACTGGAAATAAGGGAGGGGGGAGTAAGTTTTCAGAGGTGTTTTTGAATTTTCTGTTGAGAAATGTCTGCAATAGAAACCATGAGCAAAGCGTTCATATCATTTTTTTTCCCTTGGTAAAAGGTATCAAAGTTAAAATATTAATTTTGTTTGAAATGTTTTTAAAAGTGTTGTGGTTTGGGCCTGGTCAGCAACCAACCACCGCAGCTGGTCACCCTCCCTTCCCCCTCCCCACCTGGGAATGGGGGAGGCGATTAGAGTGGTGAAGGGAGACTCCCAGGCTGAGATAAGACCAGTTTAATAATGGCAATAAAATGAGAACAATGATGATGATAGGGGGAAAAAAAAAAAAGAAATATATAAACAGGCAATGTACAGCGTAATTGCTCACCACCCGCTAACCAATATCCAGCCCGTTCCCGGCCAGCGACCCCGAGATACCAAGATCCCACAGTCACAATCCCGGAAGCGAGAGAGAGAGAGAGAGAGCCCCTTCCCAACCACCCCTCCTCTATACAGTGAGCATGACGTTCCATGATATGGAATATTTCACTGGCCAGTTAGGGTCAGGTGCTGTGGCCGTGCTCCCTCCCTGCTCCCTGTGCCCTTGCGCACGGGCAGGACATGGGGAGTCGGAGAGTCCTTGAAGTCTCGGTAGCAGCTGAAAACATCAGTGTGCTATCAGCATTCTTCCCATACCAAACCCAAAGCTAAATCCCAAACACAGCACTCATCTGGTCCCTGAAAAGGAGTATTAACTCTATTTCAGCCCAAACCAAGACAAAAAGTGAGTTGTACATTCAAGATTCTGCTTATGAATGAACATAGAGATAGCATCAAAGGTAGCATGTTGAATTACATGAGCTATTAATTACCCTCCTCAGTACTTACCTCTTTCCTTGCTAAATCCATTGTGTAACCATACAGTCTGAAATGACAAAATATGTGAGAATTAGCATAAAACCAAAGTATTTATTAACCCATTTCCTAATGAGTCAACCTAATGAAGAGTCTAAGGCTTATCAACATATCTAAGTATTAAATCTCTTCAGATGACTCTTGAACAATCTTGACTCAAACAATCCACGTGTTGGTTGGTTGTTATGTTTTATCCTGAATAGGCTGTTTTGGGCTCACAGAATTTGTACTAAAATAGGTATTTCATTCTTTAGTAGGAATGTATTACTCTGCAAGGGAAAGGAGCTATAATCAGAAGTTTGGAAACAGTGAATCTCTCTTTTGGACTCAGCTTTGTCATATCTGAACTAAAAGGACTTCTTTTATGCTTGATCAGAAAATGATGGTAAATTGCATGGCACAGAGACATCTTTGGTTTACTAAAATCAGAATCAATTCCTGTATTTAAACCTTTTTTTTACAAAGACATGTATTTATTTGGCAGATTGATTGGTTCTGAAAACTCATGTTTGGTATGCAGGCATGAAGCTCATTGGTTTTACGTGTTTTCATGATCCAAGTACAGTTTTAGAACAGACAGAGCAAGACCTAGTGTCCAACACTGGATGGTGCCCATCCCGAGTTTGGCTTCCAGTCCTGTTCTGGTCAAAAATGAATTTGGCAGTTCAGGCCTTTTTTTCCCTAGCAGATACTCCGTAACTGTTGTATTGTTATGCAGTCTGATGTCAGATGATGATTATCATAGTGACAGTGTGTGTGGTTTGTTTTGCAGGGTCTTTTAATAGTAACTATCTGCAGAGTTTTTTACTTTATTCTGATTTTAATCCCTCTTTGTCTTTTAATAAATAATCCATTAGGTATGAATAGTGCCTTGCAATAACGGATCCTGGGTTTTTTTGGTTAATGGCTACTGTGAAACCTCCAGTCACATTTAAATTCAAATCAGTGTGTGTTTCATAAAAAATGAAATAATGAATGCTTGTGAAGGTGCCATCCCTTGGACTTTTATTTACACAGTAGGTTTTTAGTATTTCATACAGCTTTTATATCAAAGCTTTTCCCAACTGCTATTTCAGAAACCAGGGATTAAAAACAAATCACTGCTCTACCTTTTCTTCTTTTCCCCCACAGCAGGGAGGGACTGTACCTTTTTGTGTATAGCTGGATGCATTTAACTGACCTGAAGATACCTTAAAGCGGGGCTATAAAGATGAGGCCTGCCAGGACACTGATCTTTCCTCCCAGAGTTTAGGGGAGAAAAAAAAAAGGGTGGGGAGTGCTTGTTAACAACTTGACAGTATTACTTCAGAAAAACATCTGAAATGAATAAATTAAATTTGAGTGCATACATCTCTAAGATTCTTTTTATGTTTAAGATCAAAAGCAAGAGCAAAGTAAACTGCTTGCTTGTCATCTTAGTATTATTGCATTGACTGGTTCAGATTTTCTTCTTATGCTAAGAAAAGTGAGAAGAATACAGTTGAGTGAACAAAAATGCTATTTAAGAAAAAAACATCAGTTAGACTTTATTAATACACAGCAGTGACCTGTTTCTTTGTTCAAGATGTAACATATTGTGACACAACAATAACAAGAATTAGTACTAGCACTGGAAATACGGAGTACCTGAAAACGGAGCAAAATTTTCCCTGAGAGGTATCTAAAGCAGATACTAGGCTCTGGCAGAGCTGAGCAGCCTGATCCACGAGGGCATTCCAGCAATGGACACCCCTCTAGTGCAGTTAGGATCTGAATGAGATATACATGCTAAAAGAGGGAATTTGGGTGAACAGTACCCATGAACACCAGCTTGGTTAGGCAGAATCTGCCTCTCACGATCAGCCAATGAGAGATAAAAGAGGTTTTAAATCACATCCCTTCTGGTCTCGGGTATCGGATTTGCACTGCTTACAGGTCACTCTTACTTCAGTTCCATACTGAAATATGTTCTTGAGTGTAGGCTGTTAGCAGATGTTAAATGTAATTGTAGTGAAGTTGCAGTATTTGCCTAAGAAAAAAAAAAAAAGCTTCATGATTTCTGGGCCAAACTTTTTACCTGGTGTCTGTCTGCTGCCTAGGATGGGTTTCTCAAAATCTTCTCTTGAATTCTCAGACAAGGGGAAATTTTTAGCATAACTAAAGTTCCTTTATTACTTTTATACCCTCTGTCCTTCTAATTACACTGAAACTCTGTGTTGGAGTTCGGTTTACATATATGATGACACAAAGTCTTGGCTTCTGTTCCTCTTTTAATTCCAAAGGTTAAATTCTTTGGATGGTGAGAGAATGCTACCTTAGGAATACAGATGCTTCCAGTAAAAAAAAGAGCACTTTATTTCCCTTACAAAGCACCTATTTTTCTTACTGAAAGTATGTCACATGGGTTTACACCTCACTATTGTTTCAGGATTGTTACTTTTTCATAGACTAGTTTTAGTTACCTGCAGAAAAAGTGGAAAATACTGAAAATAACTTGTTACTGTAGTAGCACTGTCACTTACTAGAAGCTGGTAAGGGTATTTTACACATGTAGCTAATGCAGTAATCAAGCAGACCAGATGTTAGGTTCCAAAATGTTCAATCCTTGATCCCTCCTCTAGCTGCTGCTTAACTCTGCAGGAAAAGACCAAGATACAGTCAGGTCCATGCTAGATGTCCAAGAGTGGAATCTAGAATGTTGCTGGAGAACATTGGTTCTTTGTTAAGCACTTGAAGGACAGAAGAGTGCTACATATGTGGATCCATTACAGGCAGCTCTAAGCTGAAAGCAAATTGGTAACCTTAAGCTTAGTGTGTCTTGCATCTTCCCTACAAATGCCTTAACTCAGAGGCCGCCCTAAGCAGCCTTGTCTACTCAGCATCCTCTCCTAGCCCATCAGGGCTTGCTCTTTTAGGAACAATGCCACAAGGCAAGATGGGTCATACTTTAACAAGTAGGATGTCATGTCATACATAAAGGTCCTGCAGTGTTCAGTTGTGCTCTGTCTTAGGAAGCATGAGAACAGAATGCCCAGCTATAAGCAGCTCTAGATGGGCAAGTTCTGTCGGTCACTGCAGAAAGGTTGGGGGGTGGAGGAGGCAAGTGCAGCCTCATGGCCTCAACAGGTGTGCATGTAATGGGAAAGAAAGAAACACTTAGTGCTGCTGCTTGAATTGCTTAAGTATGTTACATTAGTCACTGTAATAAGTTGCAACATGGTAAGAGTTGGGAGATGAATGCTCACTCTCAAACTTACTGTAGCATCAGTTGTAAAACATCTTTATATTATGATTTTAAGGACCCAAATAATATATAGAAATTATAGGATCTCTGCAAATACTCCTTTAGGTCACAGGCCTTTTATATTCCACCACTGCCTTCTGAGGTATTTTGATTGGGTTTCTCCCGAGATTAAAAAAACACAAAACAAAAAACAAACAACAAAACCAACCAAACAAAAACCCAACAGAACTCTTTTGCTAGGCTCCTGCAGCTGAGTCAGAGCAAGCTCTCAAAGTTACTACACTGACTTACAAGTGTAACTTGTACACCAGCTAGATGAGCAGGTTATGCTGAGCAAAGAAAATTGGTACTGATAAACTAAAAGTATAACAGTCAAGTTCTAGCTGACAATGTCCATACACATTCAATGTAAAGGTAATTTCACTCTCTGTTTTCTACCATGAGTCATTTGCTACTTGAGAAGGGTTTGGATTTTGAAACATGAAAGCCTGTGTAGTTTTTACCAGGCGCCCAGCAGAATAATTTATATTTTGCTTTCCAAGTTGCTTAAATTTTAACTATACTTTGAGCCTAGTTTATGTATTTTATATCAGTCTTCAAATCATCCACTGACACAAAAGCAAAGGATTGATGTCGCTAACTGTCTTAAGACAGGTTCACCTACTTCCCTTTTCATTTATTCACTGTCTAAATCTACTGCAGAAAAAAGGGCAGAAGGTTTTTCTGGCTAGAGAAAGAAGGATTTCTTCATGAAGTTATAATGTATTCCTAATAACAGCACTCTGCCTTTAAATTGCCTCTATTCTTTTCCAGAATTTCTGCTGTCTGAAGGCAAAATCAGTTGTTGCTAGCTTTTCCTTTTTTTTTTTTTTTTTAAATGTCATTTAAGGTTATAGTATTTCACAAATTACCTGTTCTCTGGCCTACCATTTGAACAGGACTAAGCATGTGTTACCTTTTGTGTTAAGCATGGAATGGTAGATAGCTGGAATACATGAAAAAGAACAAATTAAGTTCGGTGGTGTCATCACAGTGTCCATCTCTGTGTATCTTCATAGGCTTGCTCATTATTCTGTAATGACAAAACAATGGTTGGAAAGGTAATTATCAGTGCTGCGTATTTAAGGATAGCTTTTAGCCTGGGGTGGTGAGCAAGACCCTCGATGTGGGCAGAGGAAAGGAATGCCATCAGGCAGTGCCTGACATGGCCCACAACAGCTGGCACTTGTCCCCTGACATGTGCTGAGCTTCACTCTTCTCTGTTGTCCTCCTCAGGAACAGGCACATATTCAGACCTTTGCTTGTTAATTTTTCAATATAAACACAAATTATGTTCAGCAAGGTCCAGCATCTATAGAATAGTGCCAGCAAAATATTTTTCTGTTCTAGCACAGCAGTTTTTTAGCCAACATAGTAAACTGATAGGAAAGATTCAGTTTCATCAAGTAGCCAGTTGTTTTGATAACCTGCTGGCTATCCAGTCATAGTTGTCAGGGAATACTTAGTGTGTTTTTTGAGTCACTCAGTATTAACTTAATATACTTTCATATGCTTTATGCAGTCTTTATGATTAAGGAGCACACAACCTGTTGTATTTCAATAGAGAAATTACACCGAAATCCTTTAGGTGCATTTTAAAATTTTTGATTTGTGATTAATAGTACCATAAATCAACACCATATTTAAGCACTTTCTGTAACAAAATATAAAATTAATTTACATGTTTTGCACTTGATGATAAACAAGAGAATTCACAGTATTTTTAGCCATCTGGTCCAGTAATTTTTCTGTTTCACAACAGTATAAAATAGAATTAGATGCAGCTTCAGGAAGCTGTAATAGTCTGAAATCCAAGGATCTTAGACTGAGCTTGCCAAAAATTAATCCCCAAACCTGTTTGTAAAATTAGCTGTTTATACTAACTACACATTTTCATTCAAAATCAAATATGCACCATCTTAAATTAGCAGGAAAGCTGTTAAATAATTTTTTGCCAAACTACGAATGCTGTTGTCTATGATGCTCAGCTGTATCTATCAACAGTGCCTAGAATGGTGAAATGGTGAAGGATGCTGGCATAACCTGGAAATTAAATGCCTGTCTATGATAGCGTGTTCGCTCTTAGGAAGAGGCTAGGTTCTCTGTTGTTAATGTTTTTACAGACTCTGACAGGAAAGAGAAGTTCTTAGCATCAAAATTACTTTTCCTTTACTTTGACTCATGAGACTAAGCAAGGTTTCATTGTTCTGTAGTAACATATGATTAAAATTTGTAAAACATCAAATGGGGAGGGGAAAATAATCTATTTGGTAGTATGGATTTGAATGGTGAAGACAATCAGAAAGGCCATTCAGAGTAGTGAACGCATCTTCTGCCAATTTATTTGTCTATGTTTGCAAGGCAGAAGAAACAAAAAGTAGAATTTACTGGTTGGGAGATGACGATGACACAGTTTCATTTCATTTGAAATTGTTTGAAAATTTCTGCAAAAAATCCTGTAGGTACTGAGAAGCATAGCAGGAAAGTAGACCTGGCATCTGTGTCATCTGTAGAAGTTGGTCAAAATCAGATAGCATTTGCAACTTAATTTTGTTAAATTACTGTATTCTGAAAGGGGAAGAATGGTTGGACTTCTTTAAACATTCATTTGGCTAATCAGTTAGACAATGACTCAGCTGATTCCAAAGTACATTATAAAGCCTTAAATATGAAGTATGATTGTCCTCTTTGCCTGCTGCTGCTTGTCATTTACCTTTTCTTCTACTCCTGACCAAGCTTGGATGATACTGGCATGCGACATACAGAGAAATTTTCAATATAGCATATTGTTGTCTCCTGCAACAGATCAAATGTATTTCTTTCTTTTCAAGTTTATAATGATTTTTTTTTTTGTTTGGTTTTTTTTTACCCCTATACAGTCCAAAATAGTCTTTTTTAAAATAAGAAAGAAACAGAACAGCCTTAAGTTATTAAAACTACAGGGGAAATCAGAATAAACAACCTGCCTTGTTTGTACCCCATACTAGGTAAATGTTAATCCATGTCATTACCAAGCCTGACTCCTCTTGCAGGTTGTCATCCTCTCCTTTTATGGCTGCTCTCAGCTTTCTTCCCCTCTTATTGTAACTCACAACCTCTTCTGCTTATTAGGTTTATTTGATGTATCTGACTCTATTCTATCTGTGATAAAACTCCCTGATGTCTTTGAGAAAAAGAGTACATTTTTTTTTTAATTGCTTTTTTTTTTTTTTTTTTAAGGTCACTGGCCTTGGGTAAACAGGCTTAAGCTCTCCTTAGTGAATTTTCTGCATGTTAATTGACAAATACAGCTCCACAATCCTTGGCTTTCAACTCATGTTTCAATAGCATCATTCTTTAGGCAGTTACCTAATCCTGAAATTTTTTTCTAATTTTAATCAGCTTCCTCTAGAATGTTCCTTCTTTCTAGCCAAAGGAGTATCAGGATGACAAACACAGCTTGTAGTAAGCATAAAGTTGTTGGAGTCAATAACCCTAAAACAGAATCAGTGAAGCAGAATAAAGTTTTTACTCATTATTTATTATTACTAGAATTATTTATTGCTGTTTACTAATTATTTGTTTAAAATGCAAGTTCAGGTAAATGGTTTACTTTTAATTTTATGCTTTATGAACCATTAAAGAATGAAGGTAAATATGTCACCTGCAGCTGTACTTGCTGTAAAACTTTCTCTACAACCCCAGCAGCTGTGTAAGCCTCAGCATATAACCTCAGCAATATCTTTCACAGTAAATACATTTTCTGAATAAACTGCAACTGCTAACTAAATACATATTCTCTTCATTCCTAATACATATTCTCTTAATTACTTTTTTTTTTTTTTAAACAGGTATTAAAGCTGTATTTTCTGGACATTACCATAGGAATGCTGGAGGGTCCTACAAAGGACTGGAAATGGTGGTTTCATCAGCAATAGGATGTCAGCTGGGAGAAGATACGCATGGGCTTCGAGTGGTTGTTGTCACAGATGAAAAAATCGTTCACAGATACTACAGTTTAAATGAACTGAACAGCCAGGGCATAGAGACAGAGCTGCTAGATATGCTTGCTAAGCAAAACTAGGCTCTATCAAAGGATGTGATTTTTTCCATGTTAGACGAATAGATTCAGCTTCAGAAAGTTTCCCCGAGCTGAAGGGATGGGTTTCTGATTGTGTACCATGCCCCAGAACAGCTCTCAATTTGTTAACATCCTAAGTAATAAGAAAGTTGTTGACATGTTTCTCCTTTTGAAAATGAGACCTGTGAGGAATATGAAAGAGCAGCAGAACTAATAGGGTAATGTATCATTGCAAGAACTGTTCTGAGAATTTTCACTTCATTCCTAGATAAGACTTTCTTGTTAGAGAGAAAGTGTGTCAAAGAGTGAGAGTTGTAGCTTCTAGATAACCATTTAAATGAAGTCTATTTTAGTTTTATATTTGTGAGGGTATTTTAAAACCAATAAATTTAGTAATTTCTGTTACACTCTGGACAACAGGGCATTTTTTTAAACTCTAAAAAAACAAATCTCAAGAACTCTGAAATCAACACTCTCACTGACTTAGCAACCTTTGGATCAGATCTTGTTACCTAGATGTTTTATTTTTTCCCTATTTCCTATTCTTTCTTAGTTCTTCAGAGCCAGCAGCAATGGGAGAGCAACACATTCTGTTTTTCAGGCACAGCTTGAGTTTCCATTATATCCTAGTTTTATATAATGAAAAGTCTATAAATGAAGCTAATATAGATGCCAGTGACAGAAACTAAACATGGAACAGCTCTTTTCCTTTTGAAATTTAACTACCATTCAATTAGCATATATTCTTGTTATGGCTTCAGAAGCTGGAATAATTGCATGGGGCAAATACTCTGTACAGAATACTGTTATAGAAGTCACTTCATTGATTCCTAGACAAGGAGAGAACTCTGATTTCCAAATGCAATGTAAAAGTGCCTTACTGTAATATTTCACAATATTGATTGTTGAAAACACTAGAAAGTATGTATTCTTGACTGGAATAAGTCTTTAAAAATAAATTATATAAAAAGTTTATGTGTTTCAATCCACCTATCAGTTTTAGCAAGTGCATCTGATTTGTTTACTGTTAAATAAAAAAAAAAAGTCTTAATGTAATTAACACATACCTGTTTATTTTTTTAAGTATTTAGTTGAACACCTTATAATCCATGCCACAGGTTATCTAGAAATAGAGATAGCACAGCTTTAGCACCTGAAGAGGGAAGAACACAAACAATACTGGCTGAAAAAAATAATGCATTCTATCAGTTTTTCTGTATACGTACATAGAACATTGTTCCCTAGAGGTTATTACAGATATTTAAATATGGTGAGAGATTAAATACTGTGCTGAAGAGTCAGTTTAATTACATTTTAGTCACAATGGTTTATCTAGGAGGCTTCTTCAAGCTTGATTTGTGGGACTTGTGAGATTCTAAAATTACCACTGTAGCATTTCCTTGCAGCAGTGAAACAGCCATACCTGCAGATGGACAGGACGAAATGTGGACTACCATCATGTAATAATAACCTAAGCATAGGTAATGTCTGATTGCAGATGAAAGAAAATTATTTTGCTTTTATTCCCTGCCTGGTTTCGCTTTGTGGAACCTTTTCAGAGTCTCATTTTCAAGGGAACATCTGGGAAATGGGAACTAAAATCTAAGGCTAGACTACTTTGAAATAGGTAGGTACCCAAGTACCCAAATGGTTGTTTCTCTGGAAGTCAAGTAGTATTTCAGATACTAGTCTTAAAAATCTGTATACTTTGGTATCTTTTAAGCCACTGACTGCTTTTAAAATTTGGTCTTACATAGAGCTGGGAGCTCTTTAATAATCACAGCTAATTAACAATTTCAAGAATGAGCTACTAGTTTATGTTTTGCAGAGGGAAGAGTAGTCTCTCTATGACTTAAATTTTCTAAGTCAGTTTACATTACAAGGTTGAAGAAGTTCAGTGAAGGGACCTGAAATAATCTGAGCATGGAATATTCTCTCTGCTTCAGCACAGTACTGTAAAGCTGAATGGAGGAAAAGTTTAAAGAGTTTTTTTTAGTATGCCAGTCTATCAAAGGATATAATTTTAACTAAATATATGAAGCTTGAGAGATCAAAGTATAACTTCAGGAGAGGGTGAAAGTGCTCATAGTAGTGATACAGAGTGTTCTAAAATTTCATTTTCAGAGTCACAGTGTACTAATACACAAAATAAATGTTTATATAAGCATAATGTTAATTCTTTTTTTTTTTCTCTTTTTTTTTTTTTTTTTTTTTTTTTTACTTTTTTCAACTGTCATTTCACCCTAAGAAATTCTATGGCATTTTGTCATTAAAATATTTCTTAAGTACAAAGGTGAAGTTCAATTAAAAAAAATAAAGGTTTCTGTATATCCTAAATTATTCCTTTATTCTGTAATTTCTAAAACTATCTTGTTATGTTCATGAGTAAAAATATTATCAGATTAGTCTTCAGTTCGGAGTTCCATAAGATAGTAAAGTTGGGCTGCAGATTTTTATTAAATGCCATCTTGTCCTGTATAGGATTTTGGGAGCTAACAGTGTTGTGCAGCTATATGTTATGTAGACTCTTGCCTAGGTTCGTCCCACCTGTTGTGAGGAAAGGTAATCACTAAGTAGTGTAATTACTATTACTGTATACTGAACTAGATGGTAAAATAGAATAACCCAGATATATTCTTCAAGACTTGATGACAAATGTGATCAACTTCACAGGAGGAAGAGAAAGATTCTCTGAGTTGTTTATTTGAAACACAGGAAACATTTATTTTGGTTGTCACTTTACAAGTTTGCAAAAGTAAAGTTAAAATGTCAGAGCCAATCAAGTTGTGGGCATAACTATTACTCTGTAGCACGGATGACATTCTGATTAACACAATGTTAGCTGAAATGGGGGAATGGCCTCTGTAGTACTTTGACCTTTTTGAGCCCATGTCTCAGTTCAGTGAATTAAGAATTCCCTGCACTTAGCCTGAAATAGGCAGGGGTATCCAGCATTTCATTAGTTGTTCATTTTGCCATTGCCTTCGTAGTCTAACTTAGCACACATATTAAACTCTTTGGCATCCTAAAATCTAAGACAGTGGGAAAATAAATAAAATCTACTTACCATTTTTTATTCACTTCCACCCAATTTCTCATTCACATGAAGTGGATGCAATCATATATAACTCAGATGAAAGCACATCTTCATTTATATATTACAATCATGGGAAGGATTTTTAACCATACTGTGTTGCTGGACATTACTGTATGAAGCAAAGAGTTTAAAAAAACAGAAATGTGGGGTTTTTACCAGCATAAATGACAAATTTTGATCACTTTTCTTAGCATAAAAGGCTAATTTAGAATTATTACTGATGCCTTAACTAATTAGAAATGACAGAGGTTGTTGTGGTCCTTGTTTATGTAAATAAAAATAATTCATATTATGTTAAATAACGGAACAATCCACCTATGAAGACACTAATTATCATTTTAAAAAAAAAATCTTCTGATGCTGAGGACATTATTTTTGTGTCTTTAGCAGGGCTGATAACTGCAACTCTCTCAGCATATGACTGAGCTTAAAGCAAGATGTCACTAAAAGTTCAACTTGCTGCTTAAACAGAGAGAAAGTGAGCCTTCATGAATTTCTGTGGACTCAAGAGGGTTGGGCAGAGAGGAAAAAAATCTGAGATAACCCCTGATGACTCTTAATAGAAGTGGAAAATTCATATTAGAACACCAGAACAACCTGTGAAATTAACTGAATACTACATAATTAAGGACAATCTGAGGTGGAGACCTATGAACAGGAGGCACATTACTGAAAAAATGTCTTTGAAATCAATGTTGGTTTGTCAGTTCCGCTGTAAGCAACAAATTTAAGAACATGTGTCTTCTGAATCTTTCCAAAAGGGTCATTAAGCCTTAAATACACTCTGCATACTGCTTGCCTTTAGTTCATTTGGGTCCAGCATCTAATCTTGCAAGTGTTAACAGAGGCAATATTTGGTAGGACTACAGTATTCAACCTCTGGAGATTCCAAACAGAACACAAACACTTGATGTTTTGTTACAACTTAATCACATTTTATATTGGGAATGGGCAGCAGCAGAAGTCAAGTCTCTTCTGCCACCCTTATTGCAGACTAGATGTCCTATGTTCACTCTGCTTCAATGATTGCTTTCTTACCTCAGCACAGCAACTTGCTTTCTAGTGTCTGTTTTTTCCAGACATTATCCTCAAGTAGCTGGTTTTATTCTGTTAGGAGAACACATAATTAGAGATACATCTAACATAAGAAAATATACAGAGCATTAAAAACTAAACAGTTCACTGCATGGAAGTGCACAGTTCCTCTGTCTGTGTATGGCATTGTACAAGCCGTTGCAGCCTAACATGTCAACGTCTCAGCTAATGTTAATGCTATGAATAAGCTTCTTTCCTTAATGCTCTCACTAAGCCTTCTAACTACTATTTGAACACAGCAATACACTTTAAAGTAAAGGAAACATTTACACATACATTACTTATCAGAAAGCTTGCCTGTCGAGCAAACGCTAAGATTACCTATTACTTCATGATGAACAGTTACCATGTAGAAATGCTGGTTTGCATTAGAAAATTGTAAAGAGGGAATTTCTGCTTCTCTAATGCTCTACAGTTGATAGGATCTTCTTTCTCTTTCTACTCTATGCTGAGATATGAAATGTCACTATCAGGTATTGAAGTGCAAAGCCAGGAGATTTAGGCTGCCAGCGTGCCAGCCTCAGTTGCCATGAAACACTACCAGAAAAACAGCAGCAGAGGGGCAAATTTCTCCAGCAACTATGAGACATCTACTAAAAAGAGACTTAATACAAGAAACCTTTTTATGGCCACACATGTAAGGCCCAAGGTCGAAATCTGTGGCTACAGCTCCATTCACCTGGAAGGTGAGCAGTTGTGTGGCAGCTTCCACATTCACCACATTTATGTTTGTTCCACTGGCAGGACAATGAATGCTGTCAGCTTCACAGCAAACTTACGAAAAGGAGGTCTTAAGCAAAGATTTGTAGGGTCTTTTGGGAAAAGTCTCTTAGATTATCTGTTTTAGCAATCAAAATTATTTCCTCTTATTAGAGAGCAAGGTCTCATGAGTAGTTTGCACCCATTCTAATCCCATTCTCCCCAACAGAAATTGTTACTCAGTTATCTGAAGATTAGACAACTCAAAGTTGATAAATGCAGGCACTGTGCTCTTGGACACATTTTCACTGGAAGGTGCTCTGTAAAATATTGGAAAAATAAAACATAAAATAGAGAAAAAGCATTAGTCCAGAATATTAAATTAATCCTCCAGCCTAAATGAAATCCAACTCCCATGCAGCAGCTATAGAAGAGGGGAAAACAACAAACAACCAAAACAAAACAAACCACAGAACTAAGGCAACAAAGACAAACCAAAAGCTTTTCAAGCAATATGACAAACACACCCAACACTTCTCTTAAGAAAAAAACAAACAAAAAACCAACCCACAACTCAGAGAGCCATTACTTTTTTTTAATTGACGTTTTCATTTGTTTCTCTAGAAGTAACGTCCTTCATTAGCACTTTGTCAAATGCAGACAGTTTAGTACATTTCTACTAATAAACAGCTTTTTTTTTTTTTCCTCTAGGATACCCGTTAAAGCCTTATCCTATTTAGAATTATAGTGTTATGTCACTTCTGGGTAGCCAACAGCTGGAACATCCATCTTCTAAATATATCCCTATCTTGCTTGAACATTGTTTAGAAAGGTATACTGTTAAAAAGTACAATGTGGCCTTTTAAATGAACTGGTAATGGCATTTTCTCAGCATAGTCAAATCGTTCTCACCTGTTGCCATATAAAAAAGGCACAGAAATACAGGAAGTATCTCATACTGCTCTAATGAACCGAGATCAGCAGTCCTGCAATATGGCAACCTACCTGTCCAGAAATTTTCTGAGTAATGTGCCAACAGCACACTGGCTAGGAAAGCAACAACTTGTATTTGGATACATGTGAGACAAAGATAATACTGCCACTGAACAGGGTTCTTCCAGCACACCATAAACACTGAAGCCAAGAGGGCACTAACAGGACACAGAGCACAAAGACAACGACTCTTAAGTCTTTTTTTATAAAGCCTGAGCTGAATTTAATCTTACCCTTCTATTAATTCCAAGTCTTGGGCTGTCATAACCAGTGAAGAGGAGATGGAACCACCTCAATTCACTTCAGCTGTGTAAAAGCTGGTGTTCCATTCTCATCAACTAGTCCTTCCCATATGTGGAGATACATAACCCCAGCAGGTAATTCAACCTATCCCGCAAGTGATGTGTAAACTAGGTGAACTGAATTGCCCCTGAAGATGCCTCTACTGACTACTGTGATAATCTAGGTGTTCACTTTAACAAGATTCCTAACCTTTACTTAAGGCTAGGCTAACCCTGGAGGAGGCAATGTCTACGTCTATCAACACTTGGCTCCTACTCTGCAAAGGTGGAAGGCCAAGGTGTGGGCTCAAAGCCACTGGGCATTGGAAGAGGTTGCACTTGAGTTTTCCAAATCACCAGAATCTTTTTTTTTTTTTTTTTTTGCAAAAAGGCTAACTAATATGAATATAGGGACTAGCCATGCTCTAGGTGTCCAAGACAAACATTTAATAAACAAAAAACAATTGCATGCTGATGTTACAGCTGCTTATGATTTGTGAATATTTGTGGGACAGGTTTTTTTTAATCTGTAATTTGTGTTTATGCAACTATAAACATCTACTTGAGTTCAACCTCAAACATTTTATGTGCCTGCAACATTAACTTCTTCCTCTGATCACTGCTCCCAATACTAACCATAGCTTGTATTATCATTCCCAGGACCTGCTACCCTTCAGGAAACACCTACTTTTGTTAAGGCAACAAAATGAATTAATCCTAAAAAAGAGACTATACCAGAAAAGGTAAAATAAACCAAAATAAGACAAAATTTAGGCCTAGTACAAGTTATGACCTCTCTAAACAGTGTGGCTGTTCAAGTTTAGATGATTTGTGGTAGGAAAAAAAAATAATCATGGGAATCTTAAACTGTTCGAAATAAGAGTCAGGTTTGTTTCCATCCAACACCCTTGGGCTATCCTGGGTCTATCAAAGGCAAAAGAATGCCCCAAACTGGAGCTGCTAGTCCGACTATGTTCATGCCAAAGAGGCTGAAGTGTCCTTTGGCAGCAGGCCTTCTACTGCTTCCAGAAATTCACCTCAGAAATTGCCTAATAAAAAACATGTTAAGATATGTGGTTTACTTTAAAAATATTGGTTAACATTTTTACTCATAGTTTTTCCACATTTAACGTTTTCATTTCTCATTTTGAAACAAAATCTAATTATGCAGCAACACAAAACCATTCAGCCCTGCACTGTAATGACAGAAAATGCTGTTATGTGCAGAGGACAACTAAAGCTGAAGAGCAGTCACAGATCTGGGTCCATGCAACATGATAATCTAACATGCATCCAGACACTTGAGCCTGCTATCTTTTATATCTTCGGAGTCTAAACAATGTCAGCACTTGATTTGGAACATCTTTGGGATGAAAGCACTTCCTCCCTACCATACACAAACATACCTTTTCCCAGATCATCAGCTGTGTAAAGAATTTGCAGCAACAGCTCTATTCATAAGAATCCCTACACATCTCTCTCTGCAAAGAGTACTCTATTTGCACAGAAGTGTAGAGTATCATGCATTAAACATGCATTGCAGGTAGCATATCTTTAATCCAGACACTAACTAAAGATGATAATGCCTCATGGTCCTCACTTACAAGCATTTTCTGATTTGGATTTACCAAGATTCCTACTCTCACAACTCTTTAAATTCTACTGAAGCACAGTTCATCCAGATTACCCAACCCCTTCTGCCCTCCATTGGTCTAGTAATTAATTTACACCCCCTCTCCACAGTGAGAGTGAAATAGAGATGGGATAGGAAGACTTCCCTGCTATAGCCACTCTCTTTGCCTCTTTCTCCTTCACATTTCCCAAGCTGCAGAAAGGAGTTACCACTCCCACCAGGTCTCTTTCTAGCCCTGCTCCACAGCAGGGGCAGGACTGGACCAAATACAAACATCATACATATACTCAGACATTGCGAAGTACCCCACTCTGTTTTCTCTGCCACCATCTCCATTCAGGCTCCCTCATGCTTTATGGACTTACAGCCATACATTGAATCTAAGACAGGATGGGTGAGACTCAGTGCCATAAGTCTAGGGCAGGAGTCAGCAGGCCAGGGCCTGAGCTTTCACCCCATGAAGTCACTTTCCATCCAGCACAATGCAGCCCGGAAGACATGTCAAAGAACATGAAGGCATTGCAAAGAACTGAAACAGAATTGGGAAGCAACCTGTTACATGCTACTGGCTACTTTCCTCAGCTGGAAGTCGGCACCATCCTCTCCCTGACACTCTTTCGAGGTTCGTGGGGTGCTCCTGCAGGCTATTGGACTAGTTCTCTGCTGTCAAGCAGCCCTATCTGGTCTATGGCATTTGTTAAACGTGGATACTCACAGCAACATAACATCAAGCAATTTTCACTGTTAACAATAACATAAATACTAGTTAATATTATACATTGTATATACCGTACAGGTAGGTTCCCCAACTGCCCTGGTGCGCACTGTATTCAAACCAGGGCAGAGAATCTCCTTACAGCTCCACAGATCCCATCATACCCTTTTAAGTGTGCACATACTTCAGTAAAAAAATCAGGTTGATCCAAAGCATTCGTGCTTTGACTCATGAGATAATAGCTATGACCTTCTACAACACTCAACCCAACATATTTACTGTCAGAGGAATTTGAGATATAACCAGAGAGAAGTACTGTAGCATATGAGCTTTGCAGACCAGTATTGTCATCTCCCCGCCCTAACCCCAGGCATTCTGTTTTGACTAAAAAGCACATTTAGAAATATGATGAATGTAAAATAGTGTAAGATTAATCATCTAATTTATTTCATTTTATCACAATCCCATACAGAATGTGAAGTGTTCATTAACAAAAATAAATTCCAGCAGTAACTGGGCTTGCTGTACTCACTCAGTGCATTTCAGCATATTTTGTTCACACTGCAGATTTCTACATTCTTCTTCAAGGTGTTTTACAATACAACACCATCACAAACAGGGGTAAAGAGGAGGATCTATCCATCATGAAAAATATTATTTTTATGAGTACACTGCCTCAACACAGCAATGATCACAGTTTCAATCACTTTTTCAAGAAAGCAAGAAAAAAAGAGAAAGGAGAACACTGTCTGCTACTGTGACACAATTTGAGAGCTGAAATAGACCAATTATTGTTTAGAGAACAGCATTCCTCTTCACTGCCTACCAATTTAACCCAGACAATAAAGGCATATTTAAAACTGAATTGATTTAAAAACATAAATGCTGCCAATCTTCCCAATTAAAGGACTTTTCTTATTCCCTTCATTTGGTACACTGCCACAACAGGATAACTGAGAAGAAATATTTCATAAAGTGTATTTCTGAGCCCTGTTTTTAACAGAATTTTGTTTGCTGTGGGAAAATACGGGAGGTAGCATTTTATATGTGGGTCATTCAAAAATAATTCTAAATTTTACAGCCTGCACTTTCTATATAAACTAGTTTGCATTAAAATCAGACTTCAAGACAAAACAATGATTTGACAAAAATAGAGAAACGTGGATACATACCAAAGGGATGAATCTAAACAGATCAAAAGAGTGATGGGACTATGTTAAAAATTCACCTCGCAATAAGTTTTTTAGTGAAAGGACTCTAACAAATTTATTTGTTTCACTGCTTTTCTTATCTGTGCATTAGGCCATATAGAAGTTTCCTATTTTTTTCTAGAAAAGCAGCTCATAGTGTTAAGACTATTTCTAAGCCCTCTATTATCAATGCAGGTATCTAATGCCTCTCCTTATCCTCCTAAGAAATAATGCAATCCTATTTTATTTCTCATTAAACATGCATTGTGCCACTAATCAGCTAAAGGTACTTTACTTGAAGCTTCTGCACTTTAAGTCTTCAACATTTTAATTGCTTTGATTTGCCCTTGGGTTCCTAGAAATTAAGTATAAACACAAAATTCCTGTAGAAGTAAAATATAACCCATGAAATTTCAGTACTCTTAGACAACATGCATATGTAAGCATTTATAGCTATTGCACACTATTTCCACTCGATTCCCTCTTCCTCGCTCCTCTCCTCTTTCTTTAAAGCAGCAAAGTAAATAATTCTTCCCTTTGTTGACTTCAACTATTATCTATTATAGCAACTGCTATGCTTCAGGACATTTACCTACTTCCTAGCTTTTGTGTGTACTTCTACTTCCCCATACTTCCTCCTGTAATACACACTATGGGAAGATAATCCAGGTGCACAGTCCATAAAGGCAACAGAGATGCCCTGGTTACAGCAATCTGCCTAAACAAGATCTCAGGACCTTGAAACAGGTATCTGCTATAGTGCATAGATGTGATCTAATTCATTGCAAAAAAGGGCATTAAATTATTCAAGGTCCTTTTTACCTTTCTTACACATATTCATCAGTAAAAGGTCTTGCTGTTATTTTATATTTTGCAAATGTAGGAAGGGTATTTGTTATAGAACACAATTATGCAACATTTACACTGAAGTATTCGCAGCCAAAGTATCCCTGAATGAACTTTCTGCTATTCAGAAGTTTCAGTTATAAGGAATGTTGGCACTGCAGACTCCGGGATCTGTGATCCAGAAGCATTATTTCAATGTTTCCCACAATGTCAGAAGGCAAAAGCCACTTAACTTTGGGACAGTGACTGCAGACAAGGTCTCAGACATCTCACAGTTACAGGAAGACACGCTGATTAGCATTCCCACTTTTAATTAAATCTGGTGTAGATACTGCACTTGGGGTCTGAAACATAGTGAAGACACTGTTCTGAAACTAGGACGTAGCCTGACAGAGCCTTAGCAGAAAAACAGTAGTTGGCTGTAAACCAGACAACATAGTCAAAACATACTTGGAGATCTGACAGAGGTTCAGACTCCAGCTCTACAACCAAATCTCTGTTAACCATGGCTGCAGTGTGGAGGATAGAAGTTGATCTCATTTTTTTTAAGTGAAGTCACTTGTCAGTATTGGAATTAGTTGGCTCCTTTAAGCTGGAGCAATTCATTGTTCAATCCAAGTTTTTTTTTTTTTAATGTAAAATTGTCTATTTACAATGGAAAGATCCCCATTTCTCCTGGGGAGATAATCTTTTGCATTACTACCGATGACTTCTCATCCTCAGCTGTCTCTCTTCACTTTCTGCCTCAAAGATGAGCCAAAATAGAGCTTCAAGCACACGTTCAATGCAAACCTTCATCTATCAGGTACAGTGTAAATTATAACTGATCTTCCCACACAGCTCACTGGTGGCTCCTTACCATTTCAACTACCACTACACAAAGGATATTTAATGACTCCTCTCATTAACTGAATGACATCTTAAGTAAGGTCTGTTAATGAGGCAGAGATCAAACTGATGCTTGATGGCAACACTCAAAATTTTTCATCATCATAATAAAAATGACATGTCAGTTCACTCACAGTAGTAGTGTTAGTACATATTCATGATGTACTTCTAATACACCACAGACTGATGAATATTACTGCTTATTAGAAAATAATACATGTATTTAAGGAGAATGATTTGACAAATATGATCAATTTTTAATTTTAATTAATCTTTATTTTAATATATTTTAAGATAAATAAATCTCTTCTTACTGAAACCTACAGAAGATATCTAGGACTGTAACCCACTCACGAAAAACACAGTTCTGGAAGTGTCATTGATCACATAAATCCTTAATGTAATATTTAATTAATGATAAGGTTTATTTTCTACCTTCTGAACTTGCAGCCTTATGGGCTGAGAGAAAAGTTTGCAATTTTCTTTTCAAGTTCTTTATATACATTTAACAAGCAGAAGATGAATTGCTGCAATTTACTTTGATCTCAGGAACCTGTTTCTGGGAGTGTCTCAATACACCACTTTATAGCTTTCTTCTCAGATGTTTATCTCTTTTTCTTCTTCATATCAACACTAATGGCAAATCGTAGAAAGATTCCATTGCAAGTTTCTACATTAATACAGCGAGGAATATATTTGTAGAAATTTGTAAAAAACATTTCTAGAAATTTGTAGCATTTTTAGAAATTTGTAAAAAACATTTAAGCAAAATATTTGTAAATGCTATTAATAAAAAAATCCCCAAACTTGAGGCTTTTTTTAATTACTATTTTGACTGCATGGATGAATGCCAATTACACCTTTATTATTCTGCACTGACCAGTTAGCCCATCTGTGGCTTTAAACACGAGTTATCTTCTCTGTAGGAAAGTACTGCAATAGCCTGATACATTACAAGGCCATAAGAAAGAGTTCACCTAAACAAATCACAAGCACTCATCTTCTTACAAAAATGCATGTCAGTGTTTTCCAGGTGAAGGTTAAAAAAGGCTTCATTGTGAAGTCCCTCAGTTAACAAGAACAAACTAAAAAAACCAAAAACAACAACAAAAACAAACAAACAAACAAAAAAAAAACAACAACAAAACACAAAACAAACAAAACAAAAAAAACAGAAACAAAACAAAAGGAAAAACATTTGAAATCTGCATTCTTCAACACAACAAAAAAACTAGCAAGTATAGAGCACATTAATCAGTCCCATTTATTTCTCAGCTGGGGAACTCGGGCAACCTTTTCTTCAACATTTATGCTCATATTTGACTCATTATTTTAATGCTACCAGAAAACTAAATTAAGTCCAGAGTTTTCACTCTGGAAACTTAACAAGGCCTCCAACAGTGCATAGGATTTCTTATAGTATGAGACACTGAAGCATTACGGAGGGAACAGGATAAGTTGAATTTCCAGGAACCTCTTGTAAATTCAGATACTGATGGTGTCAACTTAGATTCAGTGAAACTATTTTAAATTAACACCTATGCCCAGAAATAGTCAGGGGAATT